GGTTCTCCATAAAATAAAATTAGCAAATTACTTATTTTGACAACCGCAGTGACACAACGAATTTATACTGAGGACGCTGTATAAGGAATTCCTGGTAGGACCAACTTGGGAAATGAACTTTTCTAAATTGGTTCTGGTTTGGGTGTTCTGGAAAGTGCTCCAGAGTGAATTCCGTTGCTCTGGTACTCCATAGTACCTACAGGGAATTCCGTAGTTTGAGGCAGCAATTGCCGTTATCTGGCACATTACAATTATTATATTCTCATATACATGGTTATTTGTAATAACCCCGCAAGACTATATTTCTAACATCACAAACAACAACTTTTCTTCCATGACTTATTAATTCATCAGATTTTACTTTCGTACAAAAATAAAAATATTTGAACGGTGATAACTCTGTGCCGTAATATAAAACACCCACCACCAAAATTATTGTTCGAATAACGGCACGTAGGAGGCGCTGTTATACAATTTACTACCAAATACAGAACTAAAAAGTGTTAGGTAGTACAACTAAAACGTAAAAGATTATTTTTGGTAAAGAAGCATGGCGACATCCCGTGAATTTTGTGACCCAGTGTTTTTGACGACGTGCATTAAAGAGACCTATCAATACTTGTGATTCATTATCATAGCATTAAAAAAGCTAATTGCATACAGCCTGTAGGAGGAGGGGTTGTAAAGTTGATATAGGTTATGTTCATAACATTGTCCTGTATTTCGCTTCAGATGTTTGTTCGTAGTAGCAAAAAACTACAAGGTTTCAGTTTGTTCTCAAAAATAATAAAGAACTTGTTGAATATTCTCCAATCTGCCAAATTCTGCCACATTTAATAAAACGTTAACATGTTCTGCCGCAATGAAAATGAACAAAAATTAAATCTGCCCAAATGGCGGAATGTACCATAAATGGTCACACTGTTCTCAATCTCAATAAGACATTCACACTAGCAAGAGGCCTCTAGTTAAATCTCTATTTAAATATTGTGTTTTATATTTTAGTTTATGTCATTACTGTTTAATTCATTATTTGATTAGTGATTTTATAGCTGTAATGTTTTATGTGTGTACTATAAAATAACCAATGCTTTAGTTAGGTTAATACTCAATCATGCTTAAAATGAAACGTGTTTACAAGAACGATACATAGTCTATGCTCGAGCCGAATCAATTGCGTTGTGTTATTGCATTTATTATAAAATACATTGTTTTACAATTTCTTTATTCCCGCTTCTAAAAATATACAATACTATACAGATAAATAGGAATAACTCAAAACGTAAAATTATACAAGCAAAGTCGATGAACGGCTCTTCGTTGATTTTATAATTATTGGGTCAGCTTTTGCCATCCTTCTTTTTGTAAAAAGTCATAGAAAAAATTTATCGCTTACAACGTTAGTAATACATAATAGTCCTGCGAGGTTGTTAGTTTTATACAATAACCTTGTATATTTGTGTATTTCACAAATATTAATAATAATAATAAATAACCAGCACAAATGCAGAAGACGGTCCTGCTCGATACGGCACGTATTGTTCGCCGATTCTTGGACCTGAGTCCCTGACCCCGGCCGACTGTGCCATTGCCGGGAAATACCGCCTCTCCCATTTAAAAATTCAAAATGAATCTTTTAGGCCTTGGGAGAGGCGAGAGTTTAAAATAAATACAATAATAATAATAATAACACACACTCAACACAGCCCCGCACTAGGGAAACCCTGCGTCGCGGGTGCCATGGACACACATATAGATAAGCACAATTTACACCCAAATTCACGAGAGAAATAAATGTAGGTCATACAAATATTTCTCCCAGGCCGGGAATCGAACCTGGGACCTCTGCGTGGCAGTCCGGCATGGTAACCGTTCAGCCACAGAGGCAGTTTAGACAAATAAAATAATGAATATAATGAAAGAAAATAGTCTATGTATTTTCTTGTTTAGATACTAACAAAAAGGCATTCAATCATGCACATAATAGACACAAATACACTTTCATTTACTTTAGTCAAAAGGAGGAATTACTCATGCGCGATGCTAAAGGACATCACGAGCAATAAAGGTGGAATAAAGAAACTTCTTTCAATAATATACATGAAGATATAACTAAGGATTATTTCTTTAAAAGACAAACAAGCAGGCTTTCATATCTTGTGAAAACTTCCCTTCATATTTCACCATAAACAAACAAATCATGGCATCTGTATACTAGAGTTTAAACGTCATTTTATGTAGATTCCTAATATTCCCAAAACATACTTTTCAATACGTTTAATACTCTTATTTGTGATTTAAAACATTACAGAATAAGTCACAAGTTTTTTGTTAATTAAATTTGAAATGTGGAAATAGTAGTAGGTAGTACAATTTTTACACAGAGACAGGTTAAGGCATCGAATTAACCATACTGTCAGATCTCGGATTAAAATTTTTCTTTAATCATTTAATCGCGCGACATTTTATCGCAGGAAATCGTTTTATGTTTAGGGAGCATTTATCAAGCGCGGCCGCCTCGCGGTCGACGAGCGGAATGCGCGTTGCCGCCGCGCAGCGATCGGGTGCGTCTAACTGTCATGGGCAAAAAACACTCTATTCGTTTAGTTTTTACGTTTTAACTTAAATGAGCGTCCCGGGCACGCGGACGAGTCTGGCTTGAATTTGGTCTACGCGGCAGCCGGGCAGCAGACGCGCTGTTGTATTATTCATTTAAATTTTAAGGAATTTTTTTTGAGGAATTTAAATCTTGTTGCTTAGTATATAGAATTCAGAGTCACCATTAATTTACATGCAGGCGTGGTAGCCGGGAGGGTCGCTGCGCGGTGGCCGCGCGCCAACTTTCGCCTCGTGTAACTGGGCGCTTACGGTACCCATTTTGAAACTCCACGTCATTGTGGAAATACTAACCTCCTTATCATAACTAACGTAATCGATATTTTTAGCCAAATTGAGTTATTAACATATCTGAAACCGGCGAAAAGAAATCTACAATCGGTTTTTTAATATCTTATTTAGTTTCAGTCTTGTTGTTAAGTAAAATCAGAGTACTTAATAGACTTGTTTTAGATGATAAAAATCCTTTAGGTTCCAACCTTAATCTCGAAAGTTACCAAAATGCAAATGCGACAATGCGATAGTTATGACACGGAGAGTACAATAGATTACCGAAGACACCTATTTCTTTTTTTAAACATTCTATCATGACCGGTCGATCAGAAATTGACTCGAGCTATATCGATTATTACGTAAATATCAATTCAATCATTCATTCAATTATTAAACAATTATTACATATCGCTTGTGAGAAATGTTTAATATACTTTTACTACTTATGGAGGGTTGTAAACTTTTTTCCTCAAAATGATCGAGTTCCGGTAATATCATGAGGAAAACCCTAAATAATATCACGGACCCTTTTAACGTCGACCTTTTTTATTTCCATATGCTACACTAGTTCTCCCATGTGCTCCGAATTTTTCATTCCAATTCATTTCTTTTTCCAGTTCTTATTGCTTTTATAAGTATCCTTTCAAATACTTTAGCATCCAAATTTAATAGGAATATAAGCTCAATTTAATGTAGTTCCCAATGTACATATCCATAATGCTTTGTATCGTTATGAAATATGTTTTTTTGTACCTATGTTATTATAATAACAATGATATCCCTAACAGAACCCTTACAACCTCGATTATGGATAGTAACAGAGTCACTACGGCAAGAATAGAATTACAATAATATCTAAGGGCAATGGAATGTGTCAAAAAAGAAAAGGGTTTCAGTGACTGAGAATAATCGAGAAGGATTTAACCAGCCACTCCGCCTTTTATAATAACTGGTAACTTTTCTTTGATAAAGGTAAGTAATGGTTACTTAGTTAGGAAAGTTATTTATAAAAGACCGTGGGTTTGTGCCAGAATTGCTGAAGAACATAACATATACACAGGTGTCCTGTGTAATCGTAAATAATATTCAAGGATAGTGACAGCTTTGATCAAAATGTGCAAAACATTTTAATACATTTGAAAATGTACATTTAATTGTTTATTTTATGCTAAACACTGAAATACACTTCAATATTATCTACGAACATATTACAACAAGCTATTCTGAATGTAGAATTGTTTTTAGGATATCCGAAAAATTCATACGAATATACTCCTCATACTAACCTACATCAGCCGTTCTATCGATTCGTATGGTGAAAGAGAAAAAAAATTGTTAATTCCCAAAAAGTTGTTGGATTTAATAATAGAACTGTCGTATTAAGAAGTTTCATTATACGAGTATTTTTATTCATATAAAATTTTCGATGATTTCACACTCCGTTTTTTTCATTATTTTGCATCTACGATGTTCACTTTAAACATTTTTAATTTCCCCAGGAGCAATAGCAATCTTTGAATTCTGGGTTATTTCTCTGGACAATTTTTAAAATGGTATTAGCAACTTCCATTTCTACTGTAGGCAAATTAAAATACTGCTAGCCATACACAAAACAGCTTACCTATATAATGGCTGACAAAATTTTGTACCTCTAGCTTGTTGTGCAAATTAAAAAAAATCTCATACTATTTACACAGAATGATAGAGTTTCAAAATGGCTACCATAAAGATATAACGATTTCATGCGAAAAAATGTCAGAAAATTAATCTAACTACTGAAGAAAAATTACGAAAAAATGTCAGAAAATACACTATTGAACAAAAATTACCTGTAAAATTACAATGTAAGACCTGGCAGTATGGCCAATTAGACGTTATAACCTGTCCCGAAGGACGAAAAACTTTACTACTATCTATAGTACGGTTTCCAAAACGGCGTTTTTTCAGTTGATTAGGTGCCTCAGCCTGTCCCAAAGAACGAAAATTTTTGCTACCTATGATGATTGTTTCATTGTTTTCATCGATACTAGCACTACTATTTCAGCATTCCAAATGAACTTGTCAGTCTTTACTTATGTATCTATGTATATCTCATAATCTAATAATCTTACCAGACATAGGCACTCCTTCGCCCATGCTAGTGGACCGACGAAACAATGGAGATCGAGTCCCCGCATGAATTCGGAGCAAGCAACACAGTGCCTGTTTACAAAACACAAAAACACTTCTTGCAATTAGGCTCTAAAACTTGGAACTAGTTTTATTGGACTTTAAAGCATTTTAGTCAAGAAAAAGCTCGTGTTTACTACCTTTAACAATAAGTATAGAATCTGTCTTGTTTCTAGTGTGATTATTTTCATAAGGCATGCATCCTGAAGACTTTTTATTGACCTTTTGTTAAGAGGCAAAACACTCTATAGAGTTTATACAAATAACTAGTACTTGTCTATGTTAGTAGCTAAATAAGACGTCTAGACTTCATTATTGTTTTGCATCCTAAAATTAGCAATCGAATAATTTGCAGCATTATAACCCTTAAAAATGATAAATGTATACATTTATATAATAAGATCTCTAGTCAAATGAAAATTTTACCAGTTGCGAAGTTAAGAAACAATCATGGAACAAAAACTTTATACAAAAGGTTCGCGTTATAAAAAAATCAGTTTCTGTTTACTCGAGTTAGGAAAATTTATGACGGTGATTTTCTTGGGTTTTTCTATCTGCGATAGAAAAGTGAACAAATATTTCTTTTCAAAGAACAAACTCTAAAGTTGCTCACTTGTTCTTCGTCGGAGAAGCTGCCTTACAAAACAGTAGTGGTGGTATATTTATAACTCATCATCTTGCCATGCAATTCCCACTCAACGTTGTTTCATGTCAGGTCGTGATACGAATTTAAACAATACAGATTTACCACGCAAACTGAACTGCATGGCATCTGGCTAGTTCCCTAAAAACTCATAGTAAGTTCCCAGGAGGCGAGTACGGATATATTTTTTTATTGTAATGGCGGCACTTCACACTGGAAAAACATTAGATGTACATACAAACATGCAGACACTGACAAATATGACTGTCTACACATGGAGCCAAATAAGTAGTTAAAACAATGAATATGACGAATACGACGACATAGCGTGGACGGTTTTGGCTCCTTTGATGTGCGTTGAGAAACCGAACGTTTAGTGTTTGCTGTATTTGTCGAATAGGCAAACAAGGCAAATACTTACTTTGCCGCACATGCATATTGTCGGAGATAGTGCAATTACGCGTAACTAGCATCGGATTTTGAGTTTCCATTTCAGTCATTTAGAGACCAAGTCAAAACCGCGTTAATGTCGTGGTAACCAAATTAGCTTGATTTAGGGATATCAGTCTGCAAACAACATAAATTAATGCTTACTGTGCAAAAAGGAAAATCGTTACCATTGAAATAACAAAGAAACATTAAAATAACAAAGAAAAAACGTGTAAACGTTAAATCTCAAAATAATGCAGATACGCGCCTTTTACCAATACTAAATACGCGAATTTGCACTATCTCCGACGATGTGGCGATTGTTTGCCAAATACATCAAATACGCAAATACAAATAGCCATGTGAAGTGGCATTATAAGGAATAGTACTACGAACAGTCAGATAAAATTTATTTTTACGTTAATGTTGATTTTCTGAAAAGTTTGTACATTCCATGTGTATGGTCCTAATTTTTCAATTCATAGATCTAGATTTGTATGTTATATGTAGATAATTAAATAAACAAAATGTATAGACCTAATATTATCACGTTTCACCTCACGTTTGACCTGCATCATGAAATTTTCGAATCATATACGATAGGCTTACCGGTACCGGAAAACATCGCGATTAAATTTGCATTTGGAAGGTTCACACAACTCTACGAGGACGTTTAAAATCCCCAACACGCATCCGGCGTATTGGACAATTTCCACATTATTCTATTAAAACCACTGCTAACCCTACCCTCGGAAGAGACCCGTATCTTCTTATATATCTAAAAACGGTCGTACGTATAAAATTCTTATAGTTCATCTTCAACGTAAAACGGATTTGTGGAATGTGTCGGTTTATTTAAGATACTATAAGTGCTACATACACAGTATTCCAATAAAGCTCACAACACAAGGCATTGCGTATATAAACATAGACCTGAATATAAGTACTTGCCTACTTAATTAATTTAAAAACGTTATACATATGACATTCTGTGTGGCGTAAAGAAGCCGAGGCACGGGGTTATGAATGGACTGTATTTGTGGCGCTATAGTTATTTTTTGCCTGTGCTATTTTGTCTACAATGATATCAAAGTACGTAAGCGTTCTCTCCTTCACGACGCCGGCGCGGCCGTGAGTCTTTGAGTAGCACATAAGATAGCAGCCTTGTTCGTTACAAAGTTTCGGTCGAAAGTGATCAGCAACATACAAAGTAAATGGAACTGAAGATTTAATGAGAAATTAGATAATTTTATGTAAATTTATGATTATTTCCTTATTCATGTATCCTTAATTACGATATGGCGGCCATACATACATCTAGGGTCGACGGACTAAGCCACATAAAGTCAAAAACCAACATTCAAATTAACACGTCTACCGAGTGAAGCTCATAAGTCAAATTCATTTGCTACTTCATTAATTTGTAACTTAGAGTGGTTGCATACGGCGATTTTTAGGAGCGATACAAACGCGATGCAGTCGCTAATCGTCTACCTTTACACATAGACGCGCGATTTTAAGCAGCGATGCAAACGCGCGACGGCATCGATAAAAACGCGCGATTGTACCGCTACACTTAGGATTTATAGGCGATTGCAACGATACAATCGCGCCTTTCGTGAACGCGTGTTTGTTCGCTGCTAAAAGCCACCGTGTGTAACCACTCTTAAATTCAGGTGGCATCTTTTCCAAATTTATCATTCTCTTCACGTTACAACATTATAAACAATACAAAAATATATAATTACTTATATATTAAATAAATTAAGCACTTTTTTACTTATGTGCTTTATTTGACCCGCTGGCCTTTAGGCTTGGGCCAGTGTCAGTTTCGATTTGGTTTTTGGAGCTTGTCGGTACTCACATTAACTGCCAATATCAGTACCGACGGCACTACACAGCCAGTTTCGATCCAGTCAGTAAGTACGCTCTCGCGTTCGATATCATTGTAGATTGGATAACACAAGCAGAATACCGAACATTCTGAAATTATTTATCTCACAGAATACCAATTGAAGACAATTAAGAAAATAATTAGACACTTTTGTTACCAGAATAATATTATATATATCTAGATAGTATTGTTAAGAGAAAACTTGTGGTAATTTTCATGGCAGTTAAGAGACATCAGATGTTTTAAATTGTCCATATTTGTGGTGTGTAATTACAACAAACACAGATGTAAACATTCTTGTGGTTTATCTTAACTTTCACCTTAACAGGTTAGTTGAATCTCTATTGAGCAAAGCAAAAGTAACTCAAACAAAAACGGTAAATTACAAACTTTGTCACGACTTCTAAGTTTTACTCGCGTGACTGCTTCGTTGACATTTAATTCACAGACGATTCGAGTCTATTGAAACTATGCCTGCACGTATATTGGAACAAAAAACAGAAATTACGCTCTGTATGGCTATAAATTGCTTTGTTTCGGGATATTTTGGTGTTTTTATATTCGTAAACTAACAATAACTTATAACCGGAATTCATCACAATCAGTGGATCAATTCACCACTTGTACATTTTATATAATCAAGTACATCATTTTAATTACGTTGAGACTCCAATGAGATTACATTGCAATCAAATTATGATAATATTTGCTATTCTGTTAAAATCTAGTTGCAGTGGCAGTTGAATCTCAGTGGAATGACAGTGATGGCATATTCATTCATCCAATTACTAGCGATCGATGTTGCCTTACTTAATTACCATGGAAATTAATATCCACGTCTTATCATCATCTTAATTTTTATTAAATAAACAGCAATTTAGTCTTCAAATTAAATATATATTGTATAATATTAATACACTACGCCATAGACGTGTCACCGACTCGCCATTGAAGAGCATACCTAATACCAAACGTGCAAAACCCTGATATTGAGATGATTTAAAATTATAGTTTGTGTAAAATAGCGTGGCAATTGGGACCAATCACTGATGCTATGAAGCTGTATACGTCATTAGTAAAAACGATACTCTCCAACGTTCGTAGTGAGGGCGCGTTCCCGTTATGTCGTGACGACAGAAAGTCGTGTAGTTTAAAATGTCGTGGCTTGTATATTTAAATGAAGTTGTTCACACATAGAACAACACGATTCACTGTCGTTCACGACTTTCTTGACGTTGCGACTACAAACTGTAGTAGAACTAGAACGACAGTCGTCAGACGATAAATAAAACATTACGACATAATAGGAACGCGCCCTAACGTGGGAATGTATTATCGCTAGCGTATCCTGGTAGAAGTCACTTTGGCGTACAGATGACCCGGGGGTTACAAATATTTAAATAGTTTGATAGTAAGGAACCTCACTGGGACATAGATGTGACAATTACGTATGTCTGCGTATTTGGACCACTGTACCATTTTGAATCCGCGGCGATATCTCGCGTTCATGTAGCAGTAGATGATAGGGTTGTAGCAGGAGTGCGACATGGCCAGCCAATGACTTGCGAACCATACGTACGGCATACCAGGCCACGCTCCCCAGCTTTCATCGTCCTCATGCAACGACCACAAAAACTGCATGACAAACAAAAAAATTATTCAGTTTTTCCACACATCATTACAAAAATTTTAAAAATTCGTGTCAATTTATCGCAATATTTTGTTACTATGAACTGGCAATTATCACACTGCACCGGCCGGCGGCCTCGCGACGGAGCGCGGAGCTGCGTTTTTTAACGTTGTACTGAAGTACCTTGGTTTGTATGGAAAACACGCGCCGTCGAACAAACTGACACGCGAACCGCGCAGGTTTTTAAGCTTAAGGACATGTTCAGTTTTCTACAATAGATCTCGACGTCGATAAATTTATATTTGTTATTGAAAATCGACAAAATTTATCTTCATGTTTTCTTAAATCTTTGTAATGAAGTTATAAATAAAATTAAATTTTAATTTTATTGTACAATAATTAGTCCCGCAGACTTCATTTTTCACCTAGGCTAGGGTTGGCTTGAAAAGGTCTCTTCTAGAGATAAGCTCACCTTTGTATATGTCCTTTATAACTTGTGTTTCATGTATCTTTTCTTTGTGCAATAAAGAGTTATTATTATTATAATTATCCATTTATCGATTGGTTCGTAAAAAGGGATGTATTCAATATCTTCGGTGTCTTTTTATTTGAGTAAACAAAAACCGAATAGACAGTATAACTGCAGCGTCCTGAATGAGTTCTGTATTATTAACCATTCTTGTCAAGGAAGGATCTCGGCTACATATACATTAAAGATTACAGATTAAACTGCGCGTTGACGCAGATCTGCGAGCAGTGTGTATTGCCAGGGATGACCTACGGCTCTGAGACGTGGTCACTTACTATGGGCCTCATAAAACGTTCAAAGTCACTCAACGAGCTATGGAGCGAGCAATGCTCCGCATTTCTTTACGTGATCGAATCAGAAATGAGGAGATCCGTAGAAGAACGGAAGTCACCGACATAGCTCGAAGGATTAGCAAGTTGAAGTGGCAATGGGCAGGGCACATAGCTCGTAAAACTGGCGGCCGTTGTGGCAGAAAGGTTCTTGAATGGAGACCATGAACCGGAAGGAAATTCCAAGTAACATTTAGAAGAATACACTATAAAATTGAGTTTTGCGTAAGTTCCATACATTTTGGAATTAAATAGTAAACTGATAGTAAACTATACGAACTCAAAGGCCAGTCGACATTAGTTGCAATTCATTAATTGCAATGTACGTCATTACGTACTTAAATGTAATGGTACCACGAATAAATAAAAATATAATGGTAAGATTGGCCGTCATCAATCACGTTAATTTGACGAGGGTTGCAAAAGGTAATGCGTCTTATCAAAAGTACTTGCAATAAATACGTTGAGTGGCAGCCAGCACACTGTGAATACTATCACCACTGCCACCATCATCTTAATCATCTGCGAACAAAATGTTATACATTACAAAATGTACCAAAAATTATATGTATTTTGGTTTTTAAATTACATAGTACAGCCAAAGCACACATGATAGGTATCCACAAAAATGTACGTACTTGATGCACCAACTGTTAATGTCGTCGTAAGGGAATTTAATTTCAAAGGTATATTTAATTATATCATTACATCAACTGAATTAAATAGAACACGTATACCTACTATACAATATACATTTTTCAAATGGCTTTCAGAATGGAATTCTGAAATAAAAACAGTATCCCTGCCGCTTGACCCAAGCAAAATGAACCGTATTAGTATTAGGAAAAAATTGAATTCGAGTTGAGGTAGTTTAGAAATCTTTTAAACTTGGATGCGTTATCCGTAATAAGAGTTAATATAAATATTTTTCTAAATTTATATGTTATTTATAAGGTAACGTAAAGCAAGTTCACATATAATTTCATGTCCATTTTCTCGAGTTAACTTTCATTTTTAAGCGTTAGGTAGAATATACAGAACCTAAAAAAATATTTTTACTATTTTTAGAAGGTTCACGGAGTCAACGTCAAGGGAATATTTCGAAGGTAGGTAGGCATACAAACTTTTCTTTTAGAGCGCCTTATTCTAGTGTCGCGTGCAGATTGTGCTTCGCCGGGTGGACGTCCGCCCCACACAGCGTGCGCGATGCGTGCGTAGGTGCAGACAAGTGCACACAGTGGCAACCCGAATTGCAACGCTAGCAACGCCATTGAGTACTGCTCGCTCTGTTTTCTGTGCTCCCAGTGTTCGAGACAAACCTCTCTGTAAATAGAGCGTGTAGTTTGACATTTTAAGTTTACCGTACGTATAACATTTAATCCGACGTATCGGAATGATGTTGCATGATATTTCTAAATATACATTATACACTTTCTAACTTCATACATACATGATATATATATTAATAGCAATAGAAAACACGCCGGGTAGGACAGATGGCTGTCCATACACCTGCACATGCGAGGGCTTGTACGTCACTGATATTGCTGTGTCAGTAGCTAATTATTGGTCCTCACAAATATAAACGCCAAGAAGAAGATGCAGTAGAGCTCCTTGTTTGACTGCCTCAGTGGCCGAACGGTTCCCATGTTGGACTGCCACGCAGAGGGTCTGGGTTCGATTCCAAACTGAGAGAAATATTTGTATGGCCTACATTTATTTCTCTCGTGATTATTTATTGTGAATGAGTTCGTCCAACGAAGTACTGCCACCATGCCTATTTCTGCCACAAAGTAGTAATATGAACATTACTGCATTTCGATTTTGAAGAGAAAGGGTACTGGTGAAAGACATGGGACATATGGGACTGGTCAACTTAAGTGTCAAAGCAACAGTGTCCCACAGATCTTTGTGATTTAAAGCTTTGAATGGCGCTGTAACTGCTATGGACAGACATGTCGCTGAACACCACGTTACTTGGTAACACAAAAGACAAAAATACAGGAATTAATTAAATACATGCATGTAGTAAGTTTTCTTTTCTTGCGAATGCATTTTGCAATGTTTTACAAAAATATTGAGAATAATGCTTTAGAAAAGCAGAATAAGTATGTGTGTAACCCTGCACACATACTTATTCTGCTTGTATGTTTGAGCAGAAGATCACGTTTGCACGTACCCACGCATAGGAAGAGATCACCCTCAATGTAAAGAGATCTTGTGTGATACAAACATATCATCGCAAATAAAAATACTCTGTAGGTACACAGGCCTGTACGTGTGGCGCACTACAAGTTTCCGGAATGAATAAGAAAAAAATACTGTAAATGGTCAGAAATTAATTTATTGTTTCTTAAAACATTCCCCGTTAGCGTTAATGCGCTTTTTCATATGAATGAACTAATTTTGAAAATATTTATGCCACTCCTCCGTGACAATCTCTGAAATATATTTTTCATACTCTTCGACAGCCTCTTCAGGTCATGAAAATCGTTGAAAAAAAAGGTGTCTGGTCGAGACTGTACGAGTGATGGCTCATAAAGTCAACGTTGTTCACATTCAAAAATTCATTTGTCTGTCTGGCCGTGTGAAAACTGGCATTATCGTGGTGCAAGATGATATGGCGTTTACGGTTATTTTTACGGAGTTTATCAATAACTTTCGACAAACAAATGGTCGTGTACCAATCACTATTCCCGGTAAATGATTATTCAAAGCAACAGTAGCCACGTGGCCAGTTTTATTAAAAAAAGAAACAAACATCCGCTTAGAGGGATTTTCCACGCGCGCCACTTTGGTTGGTTTCGGTTCATCTCGAAAGACCCATACTCTCGATTGCTGCTGTGTTCTGGGATCGTAACTAAAAATCCATGTTTTATCACCTATTACTATGTCCTACACCAAATTTGACGCCCCTTCATTGAATCTGGTAAGCATGGCATTGCACCAAGTGACGCCGTCCGTTTTATTGAGCTTCAGTCAAATAATGTGGGATCCACCGAGAGCACAGCTTTTTGACACCTAAACGTCTGTGTAGTATTAATTGTATTTGACTCATGCCTATGCCTAAAGATGCCCGAATCTCATGATATGTCACATACCTGTCAGAGTTGATCATACAGCGCACAGCATCGATGTTTTTGTTGTTCACTTGCATGGTGCTTCATCACCAAAAGCAGTTTGAAGCCGAGCGAAGCTCCACTGAGCTGTTAAATTACACATAAAGTCGTAGAATCATACTACGAACATTTTCTCGAGTTAAATCCATGGTGATGTAGACAACCAATTTCTAAGATGACGCCAAAATGTAAAAACAAGTGACAGTCAGATGAAACAAACTGTATTCTACAGCCAAAGAGTTACATTTTAAAATTTTGTAATTACTTTTTAAATATGGTTTATGTAAGTGGCCAGTTCCGGAAACTTATAGTGCGCCCTATGTATGTATGTTTTTCGCCTAATGCTAATAGATCAGATACTCACAACTCACAAAACTTATGCCACTCAGACGGTTTTTGTGTTCTAGAGACAAAAGCTATGGGGGCGGCAGTGGCGAGTGCGCATGTCCATACGACCGCCACAACGAGTTTAGCCGCTGTCCTGCTGAGTCGGGGCTTGAGCGGACGCATGATCGCCATATACCGGTCGATGGAGATAGCGAACATCGTGAACGCCGATACCATCACAGATACAGCCTGCGAATAGTTCACCACCTTGCACATGACGCCACCGAATGGCCAGTGTCGCAGCACCAGCATTGAAACAAACGAGAATGGCACGCAAAACAATGTCATGAGGATGTCCCCCACCGCCAAATTCACTATAAAATAGTTTGTCACAGTTTTCATACGTGGTGTTTTATGCACCACGAAACATACCAGTCCGTTCCCTACGAGCGATACCACGAACACAGCGCAGTAGAGAAAATATACACAAACATGAAATAATACAGATAGAGTATCTTCTGAAGAACCAGATGTGCACACACTTGTATCGTAATACTGCCATGATGAATTACGGGCGAGCGTTGAGTAAATGTCGTCTTCGGTTGGCTGGGATGCAAGGGTTACATTGAGACTTTCGAACGCTTGATCTCTAACGGAGTTCCATTCATCGACATCAAACATACTGCATTAAGACTTAGAGTTACATGCTTGATGGTTATTTACAACTCAAATTATGTACCTGAAACAAGAAATAATGAATTAGTTTATTTATAAACATACAAAGCGCTAATTAAGGTCTAAGTATATGTTAAATAGAGGAAATGGAGCTAGGGTGCCCAAAATACTGGTCGTGTTCCCCGTTTTAGTCCCTTTGATAATACCATAGATGGGTATATTAATATGACGATAGGGCATTGGGACTTCACGAACATGGGATTTAACTGCCAATACTGGGGCACTTTTATACGATATTATCCTTTTAGGGATAATTAAGGATTCGTTATGAGGCTGATAATGAAGGACTAAAACAATTTACAAAATGAAATAGCCAGTGTATCATAAATTTCAGTGACAGTAACATGAAGGATTTTGTAATTTCAACGAAGAAGTGAGAGCTGTATTCAATGCAAAGCTTCTGTGCCATGTTGGTATAATTTTAGTTAAATACTTTATTGTCCAATAAATTAGTTATGACCTGGAGCAGGTGCAATTTAACAGATAAACGTGATTGCAGCCTATAGTCCACTGGAGAGGAGTAAATTGTTATATTGTAATCGTGATAAAACATGTGAATCTTTAATGAGTGTTATAAAAACGCTTTCGTTCGGGATAACATAGTAAATGGCGGCGATTTTTGTGCAGTTGGAACGAAAGCTCTTCCGTAAACATTAGCCACTGAAACGGTCGTAATTTAGATTTGTTTATGACGGTAGCAAACACCCAGCTCCCAACTCACTCGCATTTCTACGTGACATTTTGTTTACACCTACGGGTGCTCCATAATTTCAAACAATATGATTTGTTGTTAGAGAAGGTAAAGAACAGATCTTTCTTTCAAGCGTGAGGACAGTAAAGCGACTCAACAGCCATATAGTGGTTAAAAACGTAAAAAGGATTTAGCATAGTGCAGTTCTAGTGAAAAAAATATTATTTTCTTTTTCTGTTATTTATTATTTACTCAAATAATATTTTGCTAACGGGTGCTATTTATTGACAAGGCTAATTAGAATTATCTGAAATATTAAAATTAATTGAATGAACTTAATTCGCTAACAAAATTTTTAATAACAACAATCCACTACATAACAAAACTAAAATTGTCGAATAAAATACTAACAATCGAAACTCAATTTTCTTCAAAAAGTACGTCCATGACGTGACGTAGTTTGTAGTGACCATTTTTCAATTATATTGGAATAAGAATTTTCATTCTAATTTATCTTAAATTATTGTTTAGTATCTTAAATTTTAAACAAAAAGAAAAACTGTCACGTCTTCGTTTGTTACGGGTGTTTTGAAAGTAATTTGTTTGATTTTGCGTTATTGCAGTTAGGGCTTGGCCGAATAAAATAGGCTACGACACAATAAATGAAGAAACAGAAACAACACTGTGCCAATTTATTAATTAAAATAAAAGATGCTGCTTGAAATTGAGATAGGTTGATTAAAAATGGAATCGACACGAAAAGTGGCAAGAATAACGATTCCTACTTTTCATTTAAATGTTTAGAAACATTATTTCAGGAATTCATTTGAAATTTAATAGGTTTATTTACTTGCGAAGATTAAAATAACTAAATGAGTTGCTTAAAATAGTCTTATTTCTTAGAAAAGATTATAAAATTAATTACCTTTTTTTAAATACTCATATGCTTCATAAACTGTGCCTGTATATAAAAAGAAGAATGTATACACATTTTGCCTTTTTATACAAAAAAATAAGTGCGCATTTAACTTTCATGTCACCTGATGGAAAGTGACGATGACATCGACGATAGAGCATGGACACCTAAATAATGCCTATTCACCCTAGCTTTCAAACGGCCCAAGCTATAGCGTTCAGGGAATAAGTCTGAAGAAAAAACTGATTTGATAATCAGTTTTATGCCTAAATTAGGCAGCATGATCGGGCACTTTACATTTTGATAATGTGATTCAACCAATGTATGCCCTTTGAGTACATACATACATTTTTAGCTTATCAAATTGCGTGTTTCAAAGAACAATTACTTTTTTAATTAGCACCGCACTCTTGTGTCCATAATGTCACCATCAATCATCTTGCTAATAAATTAGGTTACTTAGCTTTCGCTCTAGTAAAGTATGCTAAAATAAGCTCTTACTATGTGTTATTCTTATTAGCTACGACTGACAACTTGATTTCTAGGTTTAATTAATTAACTTTGTGTAAATCAAGGTTAAAAAATAACACCTGTGAGGCGTATAAGCCAAGGTCCCTTATTATCCATAGTAATGTTGAAATGTTTTGAGTTTGTTTATTAATTTTTTTATATTTATATTATAATTTTTAAATCAAATCGCTTTAATTTAGTTTCGCCTTCCTCTAGTTAACGCAAGTAAGAAAGAGATAAATGCATTCAGTAGTGAGCCAGGTACCAACCCCACTCATAAACAATAAATTGTATTACATATGTACTCGTATCTACGATCTGTTTGGGTGTTCCTTTTTAATAGGACTACGGAAAAAACGTAGAAGGTCATGGTAATTCGTAGGTAATTAAAATAGCAACATTCATGAACGTTTATTTATTATCAAACTTTCGTATCGCAACAAGTAGCATAAAATATAATATATTACTTTAAAAACTATTGTTATTTTGTGTGAAGATAAGTTGACTAGTGAAATGAAGTGCTTAGTATCTTGTGTGCTTATAAGTGTTGTGTTTAAATATCGCCAAGACGCGCCAGAAAAAGGAGTTTTTGTTAAAATATTTTTTCTTTTTTCAAAAAGTTAAAGCTTCGGCTTTACCATGGAAAATTTTCACGCCTCGCGATTCTTTCGGTCGAAACTTAATATTACACCTTTGTTAGTGTAATTAAGTCACATCCGTAAAATCACAACTTTTCATGAGAAAGTTTTAAGGATTCTACGTGTGAAACTAATCGTTAACTTTCATGCTTAAATAAAATTTCACATACATATAATTAGTTACATACATTTCGTATTATTTTTATGACTCCCTTGTGATAAAAGCACTAATGACGTATGATCACATGTGGCTTTATTATACCAATGGTGCGATATAGTTAAGTTTCGTAGGTCATTATCTATTCATAAAACCAAATGTTCATGTTAGAATCTGTCCGCCAGGCCTAGGAGACTGACTTATAAGTTCCGTTTGTATGAATAGAGTCGCTTAAAGTTGAAGTAGTGACAAAGTTTATATTCTCACTATACTATATTCGAGAGGTCTACAGAGAATCCAAGTTTTATTACACTCGTTAAAATGACGTTAAACTTGTACAGGAAAACTTGCGAAATGTTTGGGTGCTATATTTGGAAAAGGTCCGGAACAAAACGTGTGTACAGTAACGCTTTTTAAAATACGTGATCGTTACAAATGTAACTAGGTGGAATATTGATTCTCTATCCAAGCGCATCAATATTTCTTACTTTTTCGTATATTTATTTTTCATAGTTCTGTACATTTTTATTTATGGTAACAAGTGATGGGACGAACAAGTCGTGCACCTTTTGGTCGCGGCGACACTCCTATACAAAACAATTTTAGTGCCACTCATAGTTTTAATCTCAATAATCTCACAGTAATCGAAATTCAAAATTTCCTTCGCCACGACCTATAATTACATTTTTTGCTAGTTTCAAATTTCATGTATATCATTTGAGGAATAACAGAGTAATTTCGTTTGTAAATTGTAATATTTCAGATACTTGAGCTTAAAGCCTTAGGCACCGCACAATATCACGGTTCACAATAGTACGATTTGGGTGATCCGAAATAAAATATATTATATTTTTCCAAAGGCACCTTTCAATGCCATGTGTATCCATTTTTGTTTCTTAGCTAATGTGATGGAAAAGGTATTAGGTATCAGCAATATCTTTTCCGTTCTCTATTAATGTACCGTGTATGGTTATTTATAAAATATAACGTCATAAACAACAACGTTTGATCCTTGACTTTTTGCAAAACATTTTGAGTTTTTGTTGTTACTATCTGACAATGTTTAGGTCTGTATTTGGTAGTAAGGTAGCCCGACCATCCCCACACCCGCTCCTACGTTTTCCATTGGACTGGTAGGCACATAGTTTTTTTTGTATGAAGGTAAAGTCTGATGAGTTATAATCATTTATTTATTATTAATTATGGAAGTGTGTTAACATTGTTTATATATACAAAAGTTGTTGTATGAACAATGTTAACAATATGAAATCCTGCTAGGGTGTCAGAACTACACAAATAATCCTTGTAAATGGTGTCTCAAAATTCACGCAGGAAGTAGTTTCGACAGAAATCACAGGTTTTTGGTTAAAAATTGTGCTTCTTTTATTGAATCTTGAAGTATTGGGTTATGTGTGGTAAAGCATGTCATGTGAAATTTTCGATGACCGTTTTGCATAACTGTGGCTGAATAACGTTGATACAGCGCTTAATTTCGTCCTTCAAACTCAAAAACTCAAACTCAAAATAATCTTTATTTCATAGGTAAGCATTATTACACTTGAAATCGTCACAATGGTTAAACTCTACCGCTCATTCGTAAGGCAGATTCCCCTGAGAAGAATGAGCAAGAAACTCTAGGGGTTGCTCTTTGTAAATAGCATTTACAATATTTTTTTATTTTTATTTGAAACATCAGAGATCGAGACTACCTCCATGAGCTAAACGGGTTACTACCACGGATTTTTGTCATCCAAGTACGCAGAAGTTGTATAATAACCTTTAGTATAAAGTTTTTGTTTCACTATAGTTTTAAACCTCGTGAAAGGCAAATTTTGTATATCAACCGGAATCTTGTTATAGAAGCGTATACATTGCCCCTTAAATGATTTTTTGACTTTGTGAAGACGACTATCAAGAAAAGCTAGTTTATTTCTATTCCTCGTATTAATGTTATGTCTGTCACTATTTTTCATAAATAAATTAGGTACTATTCCTTTTAACATAAATTACATTTTCATAAATGTACTGTGAGGC